TGTAGGCAACACAAGCATTATTTAGGTCTCTAACATGAACTTTCAGAGCTTGGTGCTGGCCTTTGAAAGAGACAAACTGATAGATCGGGCTGTACTGGCAGATTTTGGATTAATTTTTAGATTGCAGTATGGCACCAGTGATCTCTTACTTTCCTGAAAAGTAATCACATCTCCTTCTTCTTGCTCAATCCCCTCTGAGTTGGTTTTTTTTTTCTCTAAGCTGACATTCAGTGGAATGGAGATAATATGACTCTCATCTTCACCTTCTGGATCTTAGCAAGGTCTTTTATTCAGGCTGATCTCCAGCTACAAAACAAATTGTTATGGCTCAGTCTTGGCAGGCTTCAGAAAAACTCCAGCACTTCAAATGCATTCAGTTAATATGCAGAATATTGACTCACTGCTTACTCATGTGACTAACATTTAAATGACACTTTCTCATTTTTAAAGGGTATTACAAATGATGGTTTAATCCTTACAGCCTAATGTAGTCAGTTGGCATAATTTTCCCCTACTAATGCAAAAAAAGTTTGTAGGAAAAAGTAAGAAATTTATTAGACGTCATTACTGCTTTTAGAATTATTTCAAGGAAGTGCTCCTGTAAATTTGTGCTGAGCTAATTAATGAAAACTACACAAGTGATGGAGGAACTAATTGTAATCCCAAGTGGCAAAGGAAGAAGAGGATGCTTTGCCATTAAATTACTCATGCTCTGTAGTCCAGCTGTCCTGAGAGAAGTCTGGGGGGAATTTGAATTTACCAGTAGGTGAGAATAACGCTTGGACACAGCAGCTCAACAAAACTGACAGTGAGGGGTGCTGGTCCTCAAAGCATTTTTTGCAGACTTCATTGACAGCACCTCTCTTGAGACTTCTTGAAGGACAAGATCACACATTCCAGCTTAGTGAAGGAATGGGCACATCCTTTTCTAGACATTATTCAGCCTGGAAGGCCCAGTTTGCAAATGTTTTTCATGCATTGCCATGTCTAGAAAAGTTGCAGAGAGAAGCAGAGCAAACTTGTCTGAGAACAACCAAAGGGAACAGGGAGTGATTCTCTGTGGGGCACCAGGAACTGCAAGGAGAAAAGGGAAGGAAATAAACTGAAGAGGGAGAATAAATATCCCTAAGATCTGCCTTTAGATAACTTGGAGTTTGTGCCTGTGTAGTTACCAGTTAGATATTACAGTTACAAGTTTTTTGATTGCCTTACCATGTGGAAGGTAGTTGCTTTCTACTGACTGTGTCATATTGTGTATCCTGAGGCATCTCTGACATAAGAAACCTCTGTGTTACAGACAAAAATACTTTTTTGAAGAGAAACCACTGTTTTGGTAAGTGGTCATATTGTGACATCAAACCTTTTGGTCTGATCATGGTGTGGCCACGTAGAATAAAAATAGTGCGAGGTGGAGAACTGCAATGACTTCTGCAGCAGTGTTACAGTAGGTGTGTTTGAATAGTTAATCTTTTTAATGAGAATGCTTTTATGTTTTTTTTCCATAAACTTGCTTTAAAGCCAGTCCTGTATTTACAGCTCTTCTGCTATTTAAACAGTGAATGCAGTGTTTCCTCTCAAAGTGAAACAACTCTATTGTTCTGGTGGAACACACACTCACAGTTATTGAATAACCTCAAGTTATTGAACTTGGAGGTTTCCTTGATGTTTATAGCTGTTGAGAAATTCCAGCCAAAATCCCATGTACTTGGAAAACACCAATGCCACCCTGATTTTGTTTCCCTCTTTGTTGTTCTGTCCTAGCCATGATTGTTACATAAATACTCAGAGATTATTATAGAAGGGACCCAAATTTCATTATGTTGCCACCAAATCCTCAATTTCATGTGTGTTTTACTCAGCATAAATATGGAAAATCAGGGCAAATTTTAATGACAGGATTCTACCACTCTGCAGCACATAAGCACAGAAGGAGTTGTATGAAAACTGGGGCTACAGTAGCTAAAAAAAAAAATTCCTTTGCAGTTGTTGCATGAGTGAGGAGTGTGTGTGAGCCTGGATGAATCCAACCTCCCTTGTTTGGAAGAGAAGAACATTCCTTTTCTGACTGATGTTAATGGTTTGGGATGCTAATATAGTTAAATCTCAGGATTTTGAGAAGGGGCTTCTGTCCTGTCTGCCAGATGAACAGAAACACTCTCCACATGCTGCAGGGTAAATGCTTTTTTGTAGACTTGAATTAGATCAACCAAAGAGGTGGCAGAGCAATTGGTGTCTTGCAGGAAATCTCTTCACCTACTGGAGGCAACAAGGTAACTTGCTGGGGAGAAATGTCTTTCCCTGTACCCCTAAAGATACCAAACACTGACAAGAGGAACATTTGTAAATAATGTTTACAGAGGTCTCCCTAATCTTACATTTTGGATTGGCAAGGCACTTGCTGTTTAGTGTAGCTGCCTGTTGGGGCAAAGGATATCTTTACTATAAGAAAAAAGAGTATCTGGGATATTGCAGAACCAAGTATTTGTATATTATCGCAAAGAATTAATTTAGATTTTCTGAATGATTTTATCTTTCCTTCCTTCCTTCCTTCCTTGTATTCCTAGTCCCACCCAGTCTCTTCCAGTTTCCTGTTTCTAGTTTATTTATAGCTTAATGTAATAGGTGGATTTTACACAAGTGCCTGGGGAACTAGATAGTGAAAATCCCCCATCGTTATTGAAAATCACATTTCTTATAGGTAGATATGGATGAATTGTGTTTGGTTGCTTTTAGCAGAGAAGTTCAAAGTGTTTGTGTAGAGAAAAACTTCATAACCCCCCTCCAGGGTAGAGTTGCAATGGAGAAATAATAAAGTAGATGCACAGATGCTTTTGACTGCTCAGGTAGCTGTGCAGCCTCACTCAAAACAGATTTTAGCAACCACAGGAAGTGTGTGAGTCTGTTCACAAGCATCAGCTGACAGATTCCTGCAATACACTTCTAGACTTGGTCTGTGGTAGGAAATTTTGCTGCCCTGACAGCTTTTGTCCATTGAGAAAGGAGATTTGAGCTGGGGCAGCCGCCAAGGCTTCGCCTGCTGTCAGCAATGATTTGCACAGAGGCAGCTTCCCGTGGTTTCAAGCTGGGACTCAAGCACACTAGTAATCATAATTACAATATTTAGCTCAAATATGGTACTTTTAAGATGGGTATCTAACAAACCTTTTGGGGGATGGAGGGATACCATTAGCTCCTCAACGTGTATTAATTTTTGCAACAGCTACAAACCATCGTGGGGCTGAAAGGGAAAGAAGGAGAACAGATCTTGTGGTGTTGCTGTGCCTCCTCCACAGGTCTGTCCCTGTTGTTATTCCAGCGTCCAAAGGGAACAGGAGCTGAACCATGACTGTTTTTCTGCAGCAGAAGCTGGGTACCCGCTGGCCTCCTGAATACAAAAATGAAGTTTCGTACTGTTTCCCTTGAATGGAAACAGCATGACGTGAGCGTGGAAAGAGTGGAACAGTATGTTAAGGGGAACAGGGCTGAAAGGAGAGAACAGCTGACTCCAGGGGCTGAGCAGGTCTGCTCCCTCTGCTTCACTGTGTGGGTTTGTTTTCAGCTCAGACCATCTTGGGTCTTGCAACACATCTCCACAGCTCTGGGCTGGAAAATGAAACAACTGCAAGGAGGTTGTTCCTCCTTCCTGAAACAAGCTCTGCAGCCTGCGGGAAATGAAAGCTAAGGCTGGACTTCAAAACAAGCTGGAAGTACTCAGATGCAGAAGTGCAGAGTGAAGCCATTCAATAGAGTCAGATTTGGAACAGAGCCCTGAAAAAAACCTGCAGTTATGACTAATTCATTTTTAATGTGTGTGGTTGTAGGTAAAATCACTTCTTTAAAAGATCATTTCTCTCCCTGTATTGGTTGCAGTTCTTTGCCATCATTTTAGATAAATGATGTGTTGACACGTGAGTTCAGTTACAGATGGACTGCGAGGACAGAAGTGTTTCTGATGCTGGAGAGGCTCTGGCTGAGCTGCTGGTGAAGGGGAGAAATGATACAAACAGGATATTCAGTGTCAAGCTGCAGCAGCACCCTGAGAGACCCACCCAGGGGCAGGCACTCGAATGCTCACCCTCTCCTGCAGCCAAGTTAGCTGAGGAAACTTGACAGAATGGTTGAGTGTAGAGCCCTGTTTGTGCAGGGACAGGCTCAGGCAGTGACACTGTAGAAGGGAAAGAGTCTGAAATGGAAACTTCTTGTTGCACTGAACAAGCCTGTGAGGCACCACGCAGTTTTACAGGGTAGCCTTTGGGCGCTTTTGCTTTGTGCTCGAGCTGTCCCAGCCTCGCCTGCTGGTCCCCTTGCAGGGATCCCTCAGTGCTGTCACAGAGCCAGTGGTGTTAACACACTGCTCTAGGGGGACCTGTGACACTGTGAATGTCCTGGCTGTTGTGATACCGGCCCAAAACTTACAGACCTTGCAGCCTTATAATCAGTAAAGCTGTGAATAGGAGCGTGAAATCACTGCAAACACACATTGACTGTGGTGGGGAACAGCATAGAAACTGTTTAGGCAGCTAGAAAACAGCACAGCAAGTCCAACTGTGATGGGATAAACTCAAAGACTCCCTCAGTCTGGCTAAGGGTGTGTGGTGTGGTGACAGAGCCTGCAGTGACACGTGGGGTGTGTGTGTGTATCTGATATCCAGGAACAAAAGCAGTTGGTGTTTCCTGGTGTACGCTGGAACGTGGTGCAATGTGATAGAGCAACAGGGAACTCCTTGCTGGCTTCTTGCCCTCTGCAGATTCCTTCTGAATTAGGTGCTGACCTTTAAAGCAAGACCTGCTTCTTCACTTTCTCATTGTTTAAATTCTGCGCTGAAGCTTGAGAAACAAGTCTGTGAACCTGCAGGATTTTTTTTAAAGCTCTAATTAGTGAAAAACATAATAGATTGGAAGGAGTCTGAGGGAGAGAATCACCAAATGGAAACCATTTTACAGATCTGGTGCCTTTTATTTTTTATTTTATTCCATTCCACAACAGTTTGGGCCTGTGTGGTGCTGGGCTTAAATCAGCACCAAAAAAAGTTTGATATTAAAGGCTGGTCCCTAGCCCGCTCCTGCTGTTAAAGGGCACCTCTGCCTCTTGATCAAAGTACCACCCTGTTTGCCCTCAGTGATTTGGAAACCCAAAGTTGAGCTCCTCCTGCCAGGGTTTTGTACTAGAACACTGCAGCTGCTTGGCACCAGCAGGATTTTGGAGGTAGGAGAGGTGAAAACCATTATCCTGACTAAAAACCTGGAGGTATTTAGGCAGAGGGGCTGTGAAGGAAGAACCTCCTTCCCTTTTTGAATGTTTTTACCGTTACCATTGCCTCGGCTGCGTTTTCACAGGATTTCTCCATTTCTCATTCAGGCAGATTCTGACATTTCATGGAGATTATGAAGCGCTGGCCGAAGGGCAGCTGGAGCTGGAACTCAGCTCTGGGTGGGAGGCAGCAGCCGTCCCGTGCCAGAGAGAGGCCTCAGCGCAGTTCTTCAGCATCTGCAGGTGGGACTCACACGAAACGTGAATATTTTTGGTTCCATCACAAGGCTTAATTTTTCAGAAGCACGAAGAGGTTCTTCAAGGCTGCGAGAGCCTAAAGCCTTGGATTTCTCCTGCCTGATCTGCCTGCTGGCACGCACAGCTCTGTTGTCCCGGCATTTGATCTGTCAGTGACTCACTCCCAGGCTCGCTATCTGCACCAGCAAGGTGCTCCAGGGCTCAGTCGCACCCATGTTCCCTGTTATCAGCTCCTCTTTTCACTCCTGGGGTGCTCCCGGCCTTTGATCTGTTCCCGAACTGCAGCAACAGCTTTTCTTGTTTTTTAATGCTTCATTACACTGTGCAGGGCCATCAGCCCTCCCCAAATGCCACAATCTCTGCTGCCTGCATGCTGCTCTCACAAGTACATCCAGGCTTTTTCTTGAAAGCGTGGAATAAAACTCTTATTACCCTCAGCCCTCAAACAATCAGCAATGGTGGAAATCAGTTTGCTTCAAGATGGCAATTTCCATCAGACACTACATGGCAGTGTAATGATATGGTTAATTATTCCCTTGCTTCTCCCTGCTGCATTTAGCTGCTGCTTTTAAAAACCTGTGGAGCAGAGGCTGTTTACTTCATCCTTACAGCGCCTGGTGCTGTGGGCTCAGACCAGTCTGTAAATCCTAATGTTACTGAGCACTCCTGAATCCTGTCTTCCAGCAGAAGTCCCCTTTTGCTGGCCAGGCTGGATCTAGTTTAATTTGTGGTTGATTCTGTCAAAGCTAGAGACATAAGTGGAAAGAAAGGTGCTCTGTGTGCTGAAGGACTGAAAGAGCTTTCTGTGTTTTACAGTTGATTTTTTTTAGAGTGACATATGAGCAAAGGCAGAGACACACAATAATTTACAATATATTTGCTTAAAATCAGCTAAATTCATAGTAATTGTGGAAGAAACCAGTCGCTGCACCTGAGCTGGTTCTGCTGGAGATGGTGCTTATCAGATGACCTAGCAAGACCTTGCTGGCTTGTAGGATCTGGGGCAGAAACTCCAGCAGAACAAGCACATTCCTCAGAGAGCCTTCTGAGCAGCCAGTTCCTGCTGATGTGGTTGCAGGTCAGTGACCCAACTCGTTTTGTCCCTGCACTCAGGGGTGGGCCTTGGCTGTGCTGTGGGGTGGAGGACAGACGGACGGACGGACAGACAGAAGCGCTGGCTGCACTGGCTCACGCACAGGGAAGGCTGTGGCTGTGGCTCTGTGTTTGTGGCTCACGGGGTCCAGCCAGGTGGCACAGCCCTGATCTGCAGCACGTCCCAGACGCTGCAGTCCTGCCCAGGGCGCGCTGCTCCTGGTGCGGTGTAAGTGATGAATCCCTCTCCTTCCGCTGGCCAGGCTGGGCTTGTTCTGTTTATGCCTTGAAACCTCTCCTCCCCACCATGCTGTGATCTGTGCCAAGCTGTTTGGCAAGTTAAAAGCTCTGCCTGCTGCGTGGGCAGGAGAGGGGCCACGGCGTGGTGCAGAAAATATGTGAGATGTGGTCCAGGCTTGTGGGGAGGATGAGGCGAGGACCTGAGGTGTCATTTGTGTGCTCAGTTCATGACTTGCCCAGCCTGTTTCACAGACTTGTAACCACTGATCCTTGACCATGTTTCAGGCCTGGCCTGCAGTCACTAATTGTCAGTGTCCTGGGCTTTCTCCCAGGTTTTAATTGTCACCATTATTATGATGGATGTGGGAAGAAAGGGCACGCTGGAGAAAGGTGGCAGTTTTTTCATTGTCTGCCATTGTCATTGTCTGAGCTACCATTAAAACTGCTTATTGGCATTTGCACTCCTGTGAAATGTGTAGGTGAGCTATTTATAAACGTGCAGAGAGATTCTATATCTCTAGCTTGTGCTGTGATTTAAGAGTAATCCTCACCAGGAGAGGAGAATCTGTCCAGTACTGCAAAGGAGGTGGCAGAGCTGGAAATAATCCACCACTTGTGAGCCTCAGGGTTGCCCATAGGATGGGGTGGATTTCTGGGGGCAGGGGAGGAGATGGAGAAGCAGCATGTTGTTTCCCCACTCGCTCTGTCTCTTCCACTGTGGTCTCCCATCTCCAGGGCAGAGGGAAGCACTTTTCCTGCTGCACAGCCCCCTCTCCTGTTCTCTGCTCTTCTACGCAGCAAATGCACTCAGCTCTCTCCTGGGCTGCATCCAACCTTAGCCTTCACTCGCTTCTGCTTTTCCTTTCTGGAGCAGATTCAGCCTGGTTTTCAGGAGGGAATGGCCCTTTTCCAGGAGCAGTCCAGTCACAGCCACACAGGAGTCAGTGTCTGTACTTCTCAAAAATTCTTCTCAAAGTAGATACAGCCATTTGCTTCCATTGTTCCTCTCCTGCAAGCTGCAAATGACCTCACCTTTTAAAGCATGCAGTTTCCTGAAGAGCAAGATTAATGTAGCAGGGCTGTTATTGCATCTGATTGTCTTTTACCTTTCCACATGAAGACTTTTTGGTGACTAATAACAGAGAATCTTCTCAGCCTGTCCTGAGTGGGAACATAATTCTTCTTCCTGACTCCCAGGTGCTGTTTATGATGTTGTCTTTTCTTGCCTTCATAAACTTGTTTGGAAATATCTTGCATTCAGCTTAAGGATGCTGATTAATGTTATTTACAGAAAAAAAAAAGCTTTCATAATTGTTATAGTTTCCCTCTTAACATCAGTTTGATGTGAAACTTTAGTAAACCCAGGAGCTGGAATTTGATAATCCTTGTGGGTCCTTTCCAGCTCAGAATATTCTGTGATTTTATGTAGTTGAGGGAAATTATCTACCTTTGAGGTCTGCACCTCAATATCTGAAAGGCTCAGGTGGGATCGCACAGACAGGGATGCATCCCAACAGCCTAACTGCTGCAGGAAGGTTAATGTGATGTGGTTGTGCTCAGGAAATGAGATTCTCTCCTTGAGAGCTCCTGGCTGGATCTGCAGGACACACTGCCCTCCCTTGGCCGGCGATGGGCTGTGGATCTGGGCTGGGAACCTGCCTTTCCTGAGCATCCCTGGGCCAAGGGAAGGTTACTGGAACCTGCTGTGTGCTGTGATTTATAAACTCGGTCAGGGGCGCAGACTTTGCAGGTGATTCCAACATTCCCTCCAGGAGTTCATGACAAGATTTATGTGAAGCTTCAGCACTGTGTGAAATCAACTGTGAGAAAAATAGCTTAGGAGGGATTTTATCGTTGTATGCAAGAAAGTGATGTAAGAAACCACAGAAATCTGCTCGACTGATTCTTGAGCATGCAATGGAAGACTTTCATCTGGCTTCGCTTGTAAATGAGAGTTTTATGTAAATGTTAGAAAATCATAATTATGACATAGACTTTTCAGAGAATTTGTACTTCCAGATGTAATGATGTGGGAGCAATCTGGGAACAGAGACTTGTTTGATAGAGATATCTCTGACTTTACCCCTTTTGAGGTTTTGCTCACTCAGAGCCTGTCCCTGGTGCTGTGACCCAGTGTCAGACTGAGCTCTGCACTGGTCCATACAGGTATTCTAACAATTGGGATGTAATGCTCCCACATTTTTCCATTTTTGCTACATATTGTTCTTTTTCCTGCCCTTGTGTGGGTTATACTGTCCTGGCAGAGTCTGACGTCGTATTCAACATTTTTCATGGCCTGGAGCACCTCATTAACATTCTCTATCTCTTTTTTAGATTACTGAAATTTTGTGTTACAGCAAGATGGGAGGTGCTGTCCTGGCAGAGTCTGATGTCGTATTCAACATTTTCATGGCCTGGAGGACCTCATTAACAATCTCTATCTCTTTTTTAGATTACTGAAATTTTGTGTTACAGCAAGATGGGAGGTGAGGGGAGGAAAAGTCAGCTGTTTTTCAGTAGGATTGTGTTCTTATGTTTTGTCTCTTATCAAAATAATTACTGTCAGCAAGAAAACTCTCTGTGCCTTAGAAGTTCATGTACTCACAGCACAAACCCTCGGAGGAGTAGGAGCTGGAAACAGGCAGTGCTTGGGTCACAGTGTCTCAGAACAGCCACTGGTTGATGGATATCTCCATATTCACATGGAGTCACAGGGCTAGTTCTAAAAAAATAAAAAATAATGAAAATGTGATCCCAAATATCTCATCTCTCTTGCCTGCCCTGCTCATGGGGTCAGATCCCCTCACTGTGCACACAAATGTGGGCTGCAAACCACCCTGTGTGCCTGCAGCTCTGGGAAGCCCCCAGGGATTGTGCCCACAGTGTGACAAACTCCAGGCCAAGTCAAAACCTTAACACCTACACAGGCAATGGGAGGGTTGGGTGTTTGGTGCTGCTGGGGAGTTCTTACATCTCTCAGAAACTGCCTGGATCCATGAGCTGCTGGAGGAGGCTGAGGGAGGGCTCAGGGAACTCTCCCTTGGAAGCAGGGAGGAAGAGCAGGGCAGAGTTACCCACATGAGAAAGCTTTGTGTGCTCTCAGCTTGTTTTGGAAAAAAACCCTGACGTGTCTCTGTTTAGAAACCCACTGTCCTGGGGCACAGGACACCTGCTCAGCACTCTGCCAGGCTGGAACTCTTTCTTATGCTTTTTAAAGGGGAAAAAAAGTCACTCCTGATCTACAGCACCACACAGCCGAGAGTGCCTGTCCTTGAAGAGCATTCCCAGCTCTAGATGTAAAGGAACCTGAGTGCACACAGTGTTCAGAGCAAGGGGCGTTCAAACCATGTCTCAGTTTCCTTGCCTTTGGCAATTTCTTCTCAAGAAACCATATTATTTGTGCCTAATTCTTACAGATGGGACTGAGGTGCCTAATTTTGTTTTCTGGCAATCTTGGGGGGTCAGTAGGTGTAGAGAGACATTGGGTTAACATGGAACTGACCCACTCTTGTTGTCTAGTGAGAGCTAAACCACAGAATTAGGTGTGAAATGTTGGCTAACAGGGCTCATCTGGCACTTGCCTCCATGGTGCTGGGGAACACGAGGCAGTCAGACTGGCAACACCCTGGCACATGGGCTTGGTGAGCAGGAGAGACACCCCATGCCCTTTTCTGGAGTCTGCCTTTTCCTCTGGCAGCCTGCAGGTTTTCTCAAGCCAGGACCTACACCTGGCATTCTTGGCCTGTGGACCACCAGAAATCAGATTATGACGAGAGGAGCTGAAGTGCCAGGAAGGGAAAGTGCCATGAAAAAATTTCAGCACAGCTTTGCCATCACGGTAAGAAATGTCTTCTCTCTCACTAGACCTCCCTGCCTCTGCTCCTCCATCCCTCCTTTTGGGGCAGTGATCTTGGTGTTCTATAAGTTTTTTTTTGTGGCATCTTCTTGAGGAGTGTGCCATGCAGAGAATTCTCACCTGTACTAGTGGTGATGTCCTGACTCCCATCCTGGTGAGGAAGCAGCTGTGTGAAAATGGGAAGTTCCTGCCTCCATATCCATCCTTGGTGTTTCTTCCAAGAAGAGTGGCCTTGCACACTCACTGCTGGCTCTCAGCTGCTCTGTGCTGCTGCCTGGCTGTGCCAGCGGGAGGGAAAGGCACTCTCCAAGCCTGGGATCATTCCAAATCTCCACTTGGTATCTTTGTAGTGATTTACAATTTCTGGGGTTGGGCCTTTGAACCAGAACTTTATTTAAAACTGTAATGAAAAGGGAAAACATCCAAAGAGGTGTGGGGGTTCTTTTTATTTTCTTTTTATTTTAATTTCTCTTTTTCTTTTTCTTTTTCTTTTTCTTTTTTTCTTTTTCCTTTCTTTTCCTTTTTCTTTTTTTAAATTTATTTTTCTTTTTCTTCCTTTTTCTTTTTTTATTTTCCTTTTTCTTTTTCTCCTTTTTTCTTTTTCTTTTTTTCCCCTTTTTCTTTTTCTTTTTCTTTTTCTTTTTCTTTTTCTTTTTTCTTTTTTTTCTTTTTATTATTTTTTTTTCCTTTCTTTTCCTTTTTCCTTTTTTAATTTTATTTTTCTTTTTCTTCCTTTTTCTTTTTTTCTTTTTCCTTTCTTTTCCTTTTTCTTTTTTTAAATTTATTTTTCTTTTTCTTCCTTTTTCTTTTTTTCTTTTTCCTTTCTTTTCCTTTTTCCTTTTTTAATTTTATTTTTCTTTTTCTTCCTTTTTCTCTCTTTCTTTTTCTTTTTTCTTTTTCTTTTTCTTTTTCTTTTTCTTTTTCTTTTTCTTTTTCTTTTTCTTTTTCTTTTTCTCTTTTTTTTTTTTTTTTTTTTTAATTTTTTTTTTCCTTTTCCCAGTGCACCCAGGCAGGAATTGCAGGCAGCCTGGGATGGCTGCTGACAGGGAGCCCTGCGGCAGCCTCCCCGCAGCGGGCTGGGCTCGCACAGCTCCGGTGTGGCTGCCAGCCTGGACAAGCCCCAGGTGACTTCGGGGAAGTCCGGACAATTGGATTCGCAGTTCTCACGCCTCAGCTCGACCAAACGCACACCCTGACCTTGTAGCTGCGGGCAGGATCACAGTGACTTGGCGGCGGCTCTTTATTCCCTCCCTTCTTTAGTCGCTCCCGCGATCGGGAGATAAGGGAAGATGCGCTCCGGGCGGGAGCGCTGCCTCCGCGGCTGCCGCCAGAGGACACTCTTGGATAGCCTATGGATCCTTCCCAGCACGGCTTCCCCCTCTGCTTGGTCTCGGCTTCATCATCCCGCGCTCCCAAGCCAGGCTCCCTCTGTCCCTCCTCGCTGTCCTCGGCACTCCTGGCTCTGGCTCTGCTTGCCCTGGAGCTGTTCCCTGCAGCCCCCACTATCCATCTTCCTCGGGCAGGTTTATCGCCCAAGGTCACCGTGTTGCTGTATCTGGTGCTTTGCTGTGTCTCTGTCCCCAGGGCAGGTAGCCAAGTCACCAGTTTGCTGGGAGCGTGTCAAGGACCTGCAGCACTTGGCGCCCTCGGGACCAAGAGACAAAACCCAGACACAACCTGCCCTGAAGCTTGGAAGCACTCAGAGCAGAGATTTGGGTATGGGCCTGTTTAGGAGATTAAGTTCAGTCTGGGTTCAGATCACTCCAGTTCTCCCTGTTAAAAAAAACCCAAACTCCTATAATTCTATTCCCTGTAATAAGCATAAAGTGTAAGGTTCATGGCTTTTGAAGTTAGTGCCTTAATGCTTTGTGCAATAAGACTGACATGTCCTTACTTGCTTGAAATAAATAATAATACAAAAAAAAAAAAAAAAAAAAAAAGGTGTCAGATTGCTTTTTCAGATGGAAAGAGGCATTCCTTAAGGAGCCTGAGCAGGTGGGTATGTGAGTGTTGTGGCTCTCTTCCTTCTGAGAAAAGCAGGTTGGGTAATTTGTGTGTTCAAGTGCCTCCTCTCAGGGAAGGTCACTTAGGGAGGGCAGCATCCATCACTGCTGGGAAGAGGCAGCAGGTTTCTCTCAGCATCCCACCCCAGGAGAGCAGTTTCTCTGTGCTGGCTCTCAAACAGGCAGCCCTGGGGAGAAGGGAATGGAGGAGAGCCTGTGAGCTCGGTCTGGTCACCCATGGTGGCAAAAATGGATTTTGCTCCTTACAAAGGCAGGGCTTTCTTAGGTCCAAACTCAAATGGACAAAACCACTCTTGAGTCTCAGTTAAACCTGTGGTTGGAACTTTGCTTGGGACCTGCCTCAGTGCTGGCTGCCCCTGGCTGCAGCTACTCTTGGCCTTTGGAGTCACCTAGCAAAGTGATGGAGAATTGTCCCTGCTCCAGGCAGCACAGAGATGTTTTGCAGGGCCTCATTCTGAGTGTAAAACTGCTGGGTCTGTAAGAAGTTTTGGGACTATTATAATTTTGGAAAGGATGTTCCTTTTTTTTTCTAGTATCCCCCAAGGCGTGAGATATCTCCTGATTTGCATTGTTGTCTGAAGATCAGGACAATGGTATTACCATCCACTGTTCTGTCTTTCACTGCTAACACACAGGTTTAGAGGAAATATAATTCTGTATCTCTGCTCATGTCACTTGGCATAGTTGCCTTGAATTGAGACTTTAGTTCACCAGACAACTGGTCCATCTTGTACACACAAGGCTTTGCTTTATGTAGTGGTGTTTCTCCAAAAACCTTTGCCAAGTGCAAATATTGCACGAGAGAGAAAATCCATAGTTGTGCTTTGGTGAGAACCAGCATGCTGAAGAACTCCATGCCTTGTGCATAGACCAACAGGGCTTCAAGCACCTCTGGGAAGTGTTTTTAGGAGTCCGTTTCCTTTGTGTTTGGGAGATGATCTCTTCAGAAAGTGCCTGCAACAATTACTGTAGGAGAATTTCAGCTCATGAGTGCTTTTATACTTGAAGTGTTTAAAAAAAAGGATGGTGATTTTAGAAATGAAGAGTAAAAATGGTCTGGCAGTCAAGTGATGTTTGAGGATGGATGTGGTGTAGGCAGTGTTCCCTATTCCCCAGTAATATGTCAGGAGGCAGGAGGCAGCAGTCTCTGTTAATTATGCTTATGGTGAGCAGCCAGTGCTTCCGCTGGGACTGACTGTGCTGATCATGATTGATTGGGATTCCAGAGAAGGCTCAAACTCAGTGTGTCTTCTCAAAGTATGCTGAGATGATGATAACAAGTCATTAAAGTTTTATAGTCTTTATGGTGCTTTGTCCCTTGTGACGGTAGAAGCATTTCTGTAATCCAGAGCACGTTGGATTATTCCTAGAAGATTTCTTTCCTAAAGAGTGTTTTTACTCAGAAAACTGTTTCAAGTCACTGGAAGTGAAACTTTCCTGCAAAGCCCCAGATTTCTTGTGCATGTGGCCACCTGGAAATTGATGGAAAGAAAGGAAGGTGCTGAAACTCATAAGAGAAGCTCCCCTGCTTCCCTGCATCCCACATTGCTTCCTGGAGTGGCCAAGGCGTTTGGCAGGACCTCCTGGCTCTCACAGGGACACTGAAGGGTCTCCATGTCACTGAGGTTTAGGCCATGTGTTGGAAAGGCAGTTTCCTCCTGTAGTTAAAGAAGAAATAGATATTCTGGTGTGAGAGTGTCTGCTCTGAGGATAAACTTCTCTGGAGAGTTTTCTTGGAGCTAGAAACCCTACTGTGGAAGACAGTTTTTCAAAGTAATGCTTTTTGTCTGAATTGACCTTTTGCAAATATCTTTGTGAACATGTGCAGTGTATAGAGAAAGAGAGACCAGGGTCTCATGGCTGGGATCTGGGGCAGAGGAGCAGGAGGACACCAGGGATCTGCTTTCCTGGAGCAAGCACATGGAAGCCCCTCACTCTGAGCCTCAGTTTCTCCCTTTGCCAAGAGGGAGATTTGGTAACAGATCCTGCCTTGCAGGATGATTCCCACAGTGTGGCATCAGCATCTCTGTAACAGGGCCCCAGCAGAGCAGCTCTGGCAATAAGATGGGATTTAAATTATTTAGGGTGTTGTCATGTGATCACAACTGATTGAGTTCCTGTGGCTTCACAAGTTGCCATCTGTTATCATCCCCATTATGAATTATGCATTAGCTTAAATCAAGGCTTAAACCAGTGGAGTTCAAACAGAGTCCTCACGCAGTGATACCATAAAACTGTCTTTAGGGTGTTAGTACTGGATCCAAAACACTGCAGCCACACGAGGGATCATGCTGGTTTGGTATCAGCTCTCTCTGCTGGTTCAGACCATCCTGGAAGGCTCCCTTGTTAGTGGTAGGATTTATGCTGGGCCAGGTGTCACCTGCCTCCTTTGTGATGCAGGCTCAAAAAACTGGTCAAAATTCCATTGCCTGTGTTCTGGTTAAGTGGGCAGAAATGAGACCACAGTCCCAGAGCAGAGCCCCAAAGATCTCAGGATTCTGTGGTCAGGGAGCTGCTGCTGAAGGCACAGTGGCCACATGTCAAATTGTTGGCTGGCTGGATGAGGGACTTTGGGAAGCTGTTGGCTTTGGAAGGGCCATGAGCCCTCCTGTAAAACCTGTCAGCTGATGCATGTGTGGTGGTGTAAATGTGGCCATTTGTGGCAAAACACTTAAAGACCAACTCAGACATTCATCAGAGTCCTCTGGCCTGGAGGTGTCCTGGTCTGAAAGTGGGTTCCTCCAGAGCATTCCTGCTCCTCAAGCTGGTCTGCACACAGTCAGTGTCCTTTTCCTGTCAAGGAGAGGTGCCTCAAGCCCCCCCAGCTCGTGTGTGGGTACTTCCCTCTTAGGCCAACGTGCTGGGGCTCCTCCAAAGCTCTGGAAGCTGCTGCTGGCCAAGCTGTGAATTCTTTCCCTTTTGGTTGTGTAGCTTATATTAGATCTCATTTAGGACCTGCTGTGCTTCCAAGGGTGTGATTCCCTGATGTCCCATCCTCTCCCAAGCCACATTTAGAGGCCAGGCTTTCTCTGCCCAGCACAAGGCAGCCCAGGGTGGTGGGGCAGGCTTGGCTCTCACTGCAGCCCTGGGGCATGCTGAATTTATCCACATTTGCTGGGCAGCAGATTGGGTCAGTGACCTTGCTCTGATGCAGAGGCAGGCAGTTTATTCCCATCCATTTGAGATCCTATAAAATAAACAGTTCTCTTTGTGGGAACAGGCATCAGAGATTACTGCAGCTAAATCAAGACTTGCTTGGTGAGTGTGTGCAGTAGGGAACGCAGAAAATTCACGGCATCCCCAGAAGCCAAGTTCTTCCACACAGATTGTGTGGCTGTCCTAGGGAGGACCACTGGGATCTGTGAGCCAAGCAGGATGGATGGGCAGGGAATGGATGTCTCCT